GAGTACAATGTTCTGCGCCGGACCTCCTCTATCTACGTTTATTGACATAAAACTTAGAGTAGAGGGGTGGCGGAAAGGGGCCCGTGTGGCGCCCTTTATGAGTGATTTTTTGGAATGGTCGCCTCTGTGGCCTCAGTCATATTTGGCGTCTCATCCGTCATTAGAACCTTATAGCTGTCGCTGGAGCTGTAGTTCGGTGGAGCTATTTTGGCTAACTCAGTGGCGGCTTTGATGTCGGCCTCTGCTCGTCGAACGGCGGTTTTTGCTCGGATCACCGCGGCATATTCGCGTTGGCTAGCGTTCCTGATTCTTTCGAGGGTTTCCTTAGATGCCATTCTGGACTTGTTAGGGCGAGTCAGGCAACCTCGGCTGTCTGATCTATGGGTGCCACCGCAATTGCAGCACTTTGTATGTGTTTAGCATTCCGAGTTGGAATGCATTGCTCAGGTGGATTTCCATCACACTGGGGCGCGCGAGTAACTCTGGGTCCCGTGGCATAAGAGACATCGCTTGCATTGGCTCACAGTTTGGCGTGGCTGATGGCGAACAGCGATTCCAGAGTTGTCGAACAGTCGGAATCCTGTTATAGGGACGGAAACTCTTTCGAAATGAGCTACCCATGTCTGGTAGGGGGCTCCCACTTTCCCTTTTCCATGAGGGCGAACCCTTACCGGAATCTTCTTAGTGACTCGGAGGATTTCAACCGCTACCATCTAGTCGATGACAACTACTTTGCCTAGGAGTGTGTGAATTGCGACGGGAATTGTCCCAATACGAAGGGCCATCAAGTCTGAGGCCTTTTCCAGGGTTGCATCTACCTGGACGAAAGACTCAGCAGAGTCCAGAAGGAGCTGTCGTATCTCCTGGTTTTTGGCTCGAAGTGCGATGCCAGTCGGAACATGGTATACATGTTCCATATTCTGCGGAGGAAGCTCGAGCACTTTTGCTGCCGTGTCTCGCACACTGGCCAGCGAAAGAGCGCGCCAAGCATGTCCTTTTCCGAGACGAAGAAATAGACGATTATCTTTGGGGGCAGTTTTCGAAGCCTTTGCTGGAGGTCTCGTTGGTGCCGAGGGTTTGTTGTGGACCCGCAGATCTTTCACAGATGCTGCCGGCGTGTGGATGCCAATTCGGGTAACTGTTGCCCAGGTAGGCTTAAACGAAGTTATCCTCGCCTGGTTCTCTTTTTGTAGCTGCTCTGGCTGCTTTTGTATTGATATTTCCACGATATTTCCGCCACGACTCTGGCAGTTTGGTCGTGGGGGGAGGTTGGGAAGGACTGTTCCTGGTCCCGACAACATGAATTGAGCTACTGCAGCTCTGGTTGTAATTCTAACAGTCCTGCATCTGTTACACTAGTCATGTACTATCTCGTTTTCGTTTCCGTTATTCGTATCATTTAATGCTGCGCCACATCTATTTTCTGTAATATTAATTAGTCTTGGCGCTTAACACAAGACATGTTGGAAATTATGGTATATGCATGATTCTGTCTTACACTCAGCTAGCTTGGGGGTCTACTGGTGGTCAAGACATACCATCACCATGATAATGTCGCCATACTGGGACATGGACGCATATCCTGGCTTATTTCTAAATTCGTCTCAGTAGGATTAATTCCTGTATATATATGTAGTGTTCTTCTCCTTCAGAAATCCTCAGTTCATTACATTTACTGAATATCTCTGAAGGTCTATTCATACTCTCTTCGTGTCACCCTACCAAGCTTCACCCTTAAGCTCTATTCAACTGCTTCGTTGTTCGGCATATATCCTTCACCTCCCTATACCATTCCAGCATTCTTCTACGATCCATAACCTCACAATAGCTCTAAGGTAGACTTTCATGGAGTCTATAAATTGAACACTCGGCCCTTTGGATAGAGATTCGAGTGCATTCTCCACACCGTTGATGGCAGCGGTACATATTGTAAGGTTGAATACGGTCTGGGCCTCCCGCTGTTCAGTGGCTTCAAGTATGGCTCAAAGCTCGGGGAGACAAGTCGCAGTCTTCTTGGAGCTACTATCGCTGCAAGAAGATTGATTGTTTCCACTTGCCCCTGGAATGGTATACTGAGGTGTTGTGATTGGCGCGACTTCGTCGGTTTTGTTTTAGTTAGCAATAGCTGTCCGCTTTATGGCCGGCACAGCAATCTTTCTCGTGACTGTAATAACGGGGGCCTCTAAGACATGACCGTCTTTGGGGTCATTTATATTCCACTGTGAGCTCTCAAGTCCCTCCATGATATATCGATCAGTAACCACATCACCCAATTCGACATCGGGGTTCGTGGAGTTAAAGTCTTCTTCGAAGGCTCTTATCCTTTCGATCATGTCCAGCTCCATTTTTCGCCCGTCTATCGAGTTCAATGGTATGTTCTTTTTTGCCAAGCACTTTTCCAGCCTGGTTTTCGCTTCATCAATGGTTCTTTGAAGGCGAATAGGTCGCCATGATTTGGCAGGCCCCGGAGACGTGTTGGAGATCCGGGGTCTTGCTCCTGAGAGATTTCGGATTAGTGTAAGTGTATGTGAGTCGGAAGGGAACGGTAACGGTATTGGGATGTCTTATCAATTCTTTTATGACTATTCAGGACTTTTAGCTTTGATATTGTGTCATAGCTAGATAGCTGCATACGCAATTAAAATCTGATGCAAAAAAAAAGGTATTTGGACGTTAAATTAGTCATGTGACTTATAACGGCCTCGAAACCGCAGTTCCTCTGTGGATCCAGAACATTCGGATCATAGTACCCCCGGCTCAGGGCTCGTAATAACTGTTGCACACTCCACTTCTGAAGAGTAGGAGCTTTAAGACATATGGAATGTACACCATACAGATCACAACAGACCTTTAGATATTGATATACATGTTCAATTACGACCTAATGACGTTGATATTCAAGACGCACACCTGTGTAAGCAAGTCATCTAGTTGAAGCTTGAAGGCGCGGCCGAGCGCAATATCTGTTGGTAAAACATAAAGCAACACCACTCGGGTGCCGACATAAAGTTAGTGAGTAGAGCAAATTAAATGGTATCTCGAAATACATCTATGGTTGCCTCTTCTGCTTCATCTCCGTCCCATTTTTCCCTCTTCTCCAAACGCATCGCTGGTAGTGCCAAGTCAGAACCGAGTCAGAGTCTTAACAACTTTCTGAATATTACAAGTTTACAGGACAATTCATACGGCTCAAATTTGATCCGTTTCCGAAAATATCGTCCTTTGTTCTATCTTTTCCAATTTTCACTGACTTAAATCTAGGAATCAGTTGTGGAGAATGGTGACTCTGTTGGTCGTGCTTGATACACTCATCGCATCACCTGCTGGGTTCTTCAGGGGAAATACGGTGGAATCTTCCATTTGGGCTGGGAATTTGAACAATTACAAAGCTATGGCTAGATTGCTTCTTCTGTGGTAACGAGACCTTGGAAACTTGCTCTCCTGCCCTTCGAAAAGTCCCTAATTACTCTTTTGTCGGTGCACTAGTCCTTGTTGGTCGGATCAAACATTTGGAGCTGTCAAGTCTATGGGGGCTCCACAGTTTCCAAATTTGGACCCTTCGCTTAGTTGTGATATCTGGATTTGTAGCACTTTTGTATTAAGTGGATGTAACCGACAACTCTCCACCGTAGTTTTCAGACTCTTCACTTTCCCAATTAACTCCACTAGATGATGTTAAATAGAAGCCCAGCGGCTAGAGCCTCTCCGCGTAACTCCTACTTCAGCTGGAGTGTGTCCTGATAAACCACTTCGCGTGGTGCCTTGCGCGAAAGGCAGACCCATTTGCAGAATATCACCTACATGCCAAGACTAGGCCAGTAGCTCAGCCTATTGTACCTGTTATCAGATAGTACCCGTAATAGTAGCTTATTTGATTGGCTGAGAGAGTCTGAACCTTTCAATGTCCTTAAGTTGAAGTAAATTCCGAGATAGTTTGAGTATTTACAGAGTCTCTGACGAATAGTTGTGATACAAGAATTTCGCATGCTCCATCTCATCGGCAGGTGAGCGACTGGTTGGATTGCAGGGAGGACAGAATCGCTGCTGCTTCCATTCCAAATACACAACTGGATATTAATTAGACTAACACTAAATTCAACCCCTGCAGCAACCAATCTATTATTTGAAATACCAATATATGTGCTTAAGGCTAGTATTCGTTTTTGGCGAGGAATAACATTGATTTTGAAACTACATTTAATAGATTTTATCTTGTTTACTTCAAATGTGATTCATCTACACGGTGAGAGATAATACCATCTACACCTAGCTAGAAAATAGAATCCTAGCCTGGAGAAGAAGATAATCCCGGAGGACTTGGTATATTATTACTTTAGGTTCATGCCAAGGCTTTAAATTACAAATGAGTTGACGAGACCAGATGTGGGGGATTCCTCTCGCCCAGCTGTTCAGAGTCTATTATCGTTAATCAATCTTGTTACTCTGCCTTTTCTATCCTGAAGCGAGACGGGTGGGCTCCATCCTTCATGGCGTAGGCCGCTAGGACCGCTCCAAATTACAATATTCCATTGATATCTAGATGACTTTTGCGTATGCCGGAACTTTGCTATGATCCTGCCAATGAAAATGACAAGTTCTAGCACACATACCATCTCTCAATACATATCCCTGCCTAGTTTTCTACATTTCAATTCGAGCAAGAGCTTTCCTTTCAATCTAGGGCCTGAATAACTTAACGGAGGATTTCAGATGCGCGAGCAAGAACTTCTTGAGAGATGTGTGGCAAGCTCATTTTAGACATCGGAATTAACCATCACGCCATGTGTCTAAGAGAGATTATTCCCAATTCCATTCCATCCCTAGTTCACAAGTCTCGCCGCAGCTTCCAATATAACCCGAAGAAACTACTTCACGCTCTCACACAGGTCCTACTGTTCCTTTCTTGTTAAATCAGATAGGTCTACGATATCAAAACTATCGACAAATCCAGCCACCCCACCAAAATATAAGCAATATTTATTATACACAACAGCTGCAATATGAGAACCTTCAGTCTTATGTCACTGGCGGCTATTTTAAGTTATCTAAAGCTTCCATCTGTCGTTGGGTACTCGCCTGTCCCTGTTGCTGAAGCTTCAAGTTACAAGTGTCAGGACAGGGTCATTGGTCCGGTTACCTTAAATGATCAGATAAATAAGGCATATGCAGAAGCACAAAGCAATCAAAGTAGAGGATTAACGAGAGAACAAATATTTGCTTCAAGACAATTTCGTGTAATCTTAACGAGAGATGGAGGTATGAAGTTTCATTCCAAAAATCTCTATTTTCTATTAATTAATATCTTCAGAACGAATCCTTATCCAATTTTATTTGTCGATCAACAATGTGAAGGAAATTCTTTCTCTACAGGCTTATGTCATGAACCAATTGTTTACTTGTCATCCAACAACAGAGCCGCCTCAATTAAACGAAGTTTTGCACTAGATACTAGTGTGAAATTTAGAGGCGCAATATTTGGTCATCAAAACTTTTCAGACTAGAGTGGTATAGAATAGAATGAGGAGAAAAGTATTGGGATGGTTCAGAGGGGAATGAGACTTCGGTACTTTAAATGTTGAAAGCTATGGAAGAAAGTATGTTTATCAAAAGCCGTGATTCTCAGTACCAGAAAATAAGGAAGCAATTCTACTACTATATTGAATCTCACCTCTACCCACTTTTGTAATGTGACAACAATAGTTATTCCGACCTATCAAATAGACAATTTCAACTGCACGCAGAAAAATCAAATACTTTGAGGCAAGAAAACTTCAAATATGTGATCAAAATATGAGAAATGACATTGCGGAACGGACCCCAATCAGCAGCAATATTGATTCTAAGAGAGGACAGAAAGTGAGCGGGAAGAACGACGCATTCAGGGAATGGTGAGAATCCTGGATGAGCCACAAATGTTGGCGCTTAGTTCGCCGAGCGCAGGCCGATTCTGATAAGTGGAAAGCTAGAAACTCGTTCTACCGATAGAGATCTTATCTGTCCATAACTCTGAGCTTAATGATGGCCAGCAAGACGAAGAGTCTCATGACGTGTCATTTAAGATAAAAGGGCACAAAGGCGTTGACTTAGAAGATAAGACCATAATAGTAAGGGATGAATATGTTACGGGCTGTGCCCCGCTTGATTAGACTGGGCTATCTTTCAGGCCCAGCCTCGATCAAGGACTTCAATCACGTGATCTAACATGGGGTCGTTTCTCACGACTCGAACCACCCAATTAATTATGCTGAGGCTGGAAAACAGATCACTCAGTAGTGAAGGATTACGTGTCAGAAATCAAGATCACTGGTAGCTGCATAGGGCATATTTAATGTAAAAGATTTCCTGTAGTTAATCTCTGTAGAAAAATATTAATTCTTTGTGGTACTGATTACGTGCGGTGTCCGTAATCCTCTTCGCCCTTAACAGAATAACCCAGAGTAAGTCTGGGAATTATGAATGTAGTTGGATAACTCATCTAATTAAAGTTGAGTCAAGTGCGCAATATATACATACACGTGTCATATCCCTGTCAATAATTACCAAACCTCGCACTGTGCAACGGCTGCTAAGCCTTAGAATTCCTGTAGCCTACGCTGGCTAGCGCAGGTAATGACATCAAGGGAATTTTCGGGGATCTTCGGGAAGAATGTCGGGATACACGGGGCTTAGAAGATTCTTAATGAACCTTCTGGAAGTATACTGAAGGTTCCTGAGGATGACAGACATATCGAGAGTCTTCTAGGGAATCTTCGAAGATTCTATATTACTCTAGTCATAGGGGAACCTTATAGCAGAGGAGTATCTCGGAGTGTATATATATTTGTAGTCTAGCTATGGGAATTCTCTCTTTAGAAAATTATAATTAATATACTGTACTTACAAGATCGCCCAAGCATTATATACTGAAACCGTGACACTTGGTTCGGAGGACAAGGGTCGGAACGGGACGGAGTTGGGGTACAAGGTAAAGCTTATAATAATCGGATCAATCTAAAGTCTAGAAAAATTACAAGACAAAAAGCTACAGATGAAATCAGTCCTAGACCTTCGTTAAGTACTCAAGAGCGGCTACTATAATTAGGGGTATGATAGTCTACAACTCTAACATAGTGTGACGGCTGGTTCCTGTAGCCTATGTTGGCTAACATAGGCTTGGTCCGATTTAGGGTGCGCACGATCGATCGATCTAATAGCGGAGCATCGGAATCTGCATAGCATCCGATTCAACAGTGTAGCTTAACATGGCACCACTTGTCGGTGAGAAGCTATCGGCTGGGAATATACGAGTTCACACAACCTTCTCAATTGATAGTGCAATGACGTCGTAGAACATGAGGCTCTTTTGTATATGTACATGTGTAGATAGATCCTGTCGTAGTTCTCTCCTTAGAATTATTATCTACTACCATCAACCACATAGTTGCTCCAGCACCTATCCTAGAATCCGTGACACATAGCAACTGAATGCTTATGTTGATTGGTAACTGTTGCTATCACATTATTGTAAGCATCGCAACGCATTGACTATGTTACTAGGGAAGTTCCTGACTTGGTTGACCAGACTAAACACAGCATCTCAGCATTAGCCTATGGCACAGTGGTAGTAACAAGCAGGCCGTTTCCATTGTGGGAAAGCCGGTCTGTGACAGTGGATTAGTTTAGATGAATTATATTTTTTTACAGTCCTAAGTCTATGACTATGGAAGGCCTCTAAAATTTAATGAGAGAGACATCCGATATCTATTTCATTTCATTATGAAAACTTTTATTTTCTTCACCTAAACAGTGAGGAACAATTCCTGTATAATTTCTGATTATTTGGTTATTGTTTTATGCCAAACTTCACTCCAATCTAATGAAGGTTTAGTTCCTCATTTCATTTCAAATCATTCCACTTTAGCGTTCAAGTTTCTCCCACCAAAGTGCCATACCCGAGTAAATATTCCAGTGCTATTGTGTCACGAGCTCGAGAAGTTATCAAGTTCGCCCGGTCATCACTACAAGAGCAGCAAGCCAAGATAGAGCGCCTAGCCAAACTTCGCCGTCGCCAAGTAGACTGAAATTTTGGCAATAAAGTTACGATTGATCCTCGGAACTAGAAGATAGATAGGCCCGCCCGAAAGCTACCTGACAAGTGATGCGATCCTGTAAAAGTGCTCGAAAAGTCAAGAGAGGACTCGACAATCTATCCTATTTTCCACTCTCACACTTTGCGGAGATACGTCCGGAATCCGCTTCCTGGCCAGGTTTGGGCTGAACCGGCACTCATCTAGCTCTTAGCAGAATAGACAAAATGTGAAGTCGAGGATATTGTTGGGGCCAGAATTTCCAATAAAGTCCCTCAATACCAAATCAAGTGAAAAGGTGCTGACAAGGACCTGACCTGGTACCCCTGTTCAGATGCCATGACAGTACCTCACCTGTTGAAAAGTTGGCACTGTTGTAATGCAAGTTGTGTAGAAAAGCTGTTAGACTTGTATTTGACATCAACTAGTGAAGCGAGTGGGGAGGTTGAAGACTCTGAAAACAGTAGTGGAGAGTTGTTGATTAAACCCACTTAGTATCAGAGCGCTATTTAAAGTAATTACTACGTCTAAGTGATGGACAAGATTCACTTGTTTATGCTAAATAATTGGGAGGCTGGTCAATGTATGAGTTGTCATGAATGGGGCTAGTAATAATAGAGCCTTATTACGTTACGTATTGATGCGACTCTTCATTGCCATGTAGCGCCAATTTCTGTTGAAATCTAGACATGCTAGACCGAACTACACGCAGTGCGGAGTAGACGAAGACTACTTATCTTCGATCGCTACCAGCTTTGGTGAGATCTCGGTTGGTAATGATCTCGGTGGTGTGGATGTTATTCCATCACGTAATCAGAACATAATGTTTCTACCTAAGCGAGATAGAACGTAGATAGACAATTAGATGTAGACTAAACTCTAACACTTTTAACTACCGAAATAAAGGAGGACGAAGGCTGAACACCTGTCAGTGGTGTCCTCTACGAACCTGGGAGTGAAATATTCTCCCAGAGCCGAGATCCAGTCGCGAAAATGGGTGGGGTGAATTTTATTTGATGGATTTTCGACTTGAAGGAGTTGCACTCGTTATTTTGGTCGAAAAATCAGTCGGCAGAGATTTCACAGCCGGAACAAAGTTGAACAAAAACTCATCACCACTAACATACGATTCACGAATGGATTTAGGTCTGTCTGGGAGTCGTATTCAAACATCCGACATCTCTCATGCTCCTTTTATATTTGTGACGAAGCATTTCTCAGTCGATCTTATACCTGCGACCCACTTCTATACTCGTCCGATCACCTACATACACACGCCCTAATGAGAAAAGTCATGATGGAAACGGGACGTGTACAAAGGATGAAGAAAAGGGAAGATACACCGAGGGGACTACACAAATCCCCAATGACGAAAACAACCCAACGTTACGATATGAAGGTGCAAGGCTAGAGCAACGATGAGATCTTGGACGGCATATATATTTCGGAGTCAATGAGGATGTCAAGGGCTCGGGCGCGTGGTGGCCCAGGCTGAAGAGGAAATTGCGCTACGGCGTGTAGGCAGCGGGTTTCTGGACGGTAAGACTTGGTATAATTCAACACATAGGTGAAGTCTGAGGTGGTCCGGTCATTGAAGTGGGACGAGGTTTATCTGTACTTCACGGTAGTTAACCTGATCCGGCCCGACCCCACTCGTGCTTAAGCTCCAATAGGAGTGCAACGGTGGTCATGTAACCTAGCACGTTAATGAACAAAACAAAACAAAACTACCGAAATATAAGTTCAGTAAAACCAAAACCCCACTGATCCTAACCATTTATCTCTGATCCTTAAATCCCCAATATCTTACGATTCATACAGTATTGACTTGACGGTCAACGTTCACTTCTATCATTCCAGATACCCCCTAGAACTTTAGCAATTTCAACAGGCACCTCAGTCATTCTCAGGCAAAAGGTTCACTCGCGGCCTACCGGTCTGGCTGACAGCCTACAACAATGGAATCGAGGGCTATCACCATCTCGAGGACAATAGACCCATTACTGCAACTTCGTGGACGCAGTTTTTCAGAGGGGGGGTAATGTTATGATTGGACTTGCTGGGGCACCTGGAGGTAGCCTGGTGCTGGGATATAGAGAAAGTATATTCACGAGAGGAAGATAATGCAGATAGTAATATGCGATATGTGAGGAATGTATAGATGTAGTACTAAGGGTGTGTAGTGATAAAGGTGTTATGTACTAATGATGTGGACACCTTTCACTTGACCAACTAGCTGACTAAGCAGCATTTCCTGACACCTGGTGGAAGACTCTAGGATCACGTGATGATGGAAACCGGGGACATGTGTTAGACTATGGTGGGGCTGCGACCGAGCTTTGTTTTACTTGGTCTATGAAGTGGGGAATGTACACTTGC